GATCCCAATAAGTTACGATATTCAAGGACGTTGATTTTAAATAGGCAGTGAGAGATTTTTTTTCTTGCAATCGCTGCTTTACACTGAAAATTGAGCTGAAAACTAGACGATTAGTATGTCTGCGTTATTGTAGTATATGGTGATGGAAAATTTGTGGGTAATCATAATAAATGGTCGATTAGTTTGTCCGTTCTGCATGCAAATTGAATAGGAAAAATGATCGGAGATAAAGGGCTGTCACAAGTCTGTATAGAAAACTCGTTACGTTCTCGGCGTCGCGGCGCTGCTACGCGACGCCACCGCTGAAATGCGGCTGGTAAGTGAAGATAGAAAGGCGGCCCGGAAGGCAGCGCGAAACTTCGCAAGTTTACAAAGTTCGTTGAGATATACTAAATGGCGTTCCATAACTGCACTCTGGAGTAAAATGAATTTTCTGGAATTATTATGCCGAAAGTACGAAACTCGTGTAATTTACAAAAGAATTAGGAGTATAAAGTACGCCGTCATGCTTTATAGTAACTCACTACTCTTTTTACAGTCTCAAAAGGCGGCATCGACGCCTCGACGGCGATGTAGTACTAGGACGGCAAGGCGCGTCGGCGTCGGAGTCGCTATGCTTTGAAGCTTTTCGATTTCTTCGCGTCTCATTGTTCTATAGACTGTTAGCATTCGAAAAGTTACAATTGCGTTTGTGTGTGAAGTGAAGTACCTATCGACCAATTTAAATGCATATTATCGTAGAAAGTTGCAAACAAAGTAACCGCTTAAAGTTACTATGAGGCAGAAAAGAAAAGACAAGGTAGTCCTTAATAAATTTGATAAACGTTGAGTATGGGGATTCCTTAGAAATGTACGAAATGGTGTTCCAGGAAAGTCTAATTGATGTTTATGTAGTAAAATCTTCTTTAGACAGTAGCGGTGCGTGATGAAATGAAGCAATTTTATAGTAGAAAGCCTATTCATTGACTTCCGTTCATTCTAAGGCTTTTGACATATCAGACATTACTATGATTGTAGTTTTAGGGATTTGCCTGAACAATTTTAGAATGTGCATGAATAATAATTTTCTTCAATTTGTAACTAAAACATATGCATCTTTACATCTTTATTTACTGTTTCCTTAATTTTTGAAATTTTTTGTATGTAATATGAATTGAATGTGAATATAGACCACTTCGAATTAATTTATTCGATTAAGCTAACGTGCGTATCACGTTGAGGTTGGCTACGCCGGGATTCGTAGGAGCATACGTAATCCTAAAATGCAGTTTCGTGCTACAGATGGCGTTTACTGCGCCATTTGTAGTATTTTCTAAAACGCACTGTTAAGACAGCAGGTAAATGTTGGTCTGTGTTCTGTCGGAGCTGCCTGCGACGCGCTGATGAGATCCAAAAAGATCGAAAACGCGATCCGCGTCTGGCAGTTTCGATAGAATACAGACCACTTCGAATTATTTTAATATGAATTAAGATGATTTCAAGTAAATTAATACAGTAATCAAATTTTCGTATACTGAAGAAATTGTCGTCACGTCAAAAAAATAAATTATACGATTTGTACTTACCTAAGATCGTGTCCTGATTCTGCACGAAGAAGGGGAGTTTGTACCGAACCGGAAAAAATTGTTCCACCCTCTCCCGTTACTTTAAGTATTTCCGTACCTATAAGGACTTCATTGGGGTTGGCGGAAAAGAGCGTGTACCCCTTCTCATCCAACACCTTGAAGCTTTTTGCGAGGCAATCTAATCGGTCGTTACCTAAGAACAAGAAAAGAGAATATTTTTTTTTCGTTGTTAACAAGTGCGCCATATAATGAATACTGCACATCGTACATGTGAACTCCTTGTGAATTTAAAATCGAGCACTTATTCGGTTAATGATTGTAAGAGATCTATTTATCTTTACAAGGACTAGGACTGTCACTACAATATTAGAAACCCAATCTTGAGTTAATATTGTTTACGAAGTCTTGGCTGCCAAATTTTTGGGTTAAAATTATTCACCAGTTCTTGGCCCAATATCGACTATTCAATTTTGGACTATTATTGTTCATTAACTCTTGGCCCAATATTGGTTGCCCAGTTTTGGTTCAACATTTGTTCTCTATCTAGCCTGCCGTTATTTCCCACCTGGGAATGCATCACCGACAGCGGTGCCCATCGTTCAAATTTGAACGTGTTGAGCTAATTTATATATTTTTTAAAAATTTATAGTGTTACTGTTATTAATACCTATTCTTAGTAGTTTATCTGTTGACATGCTGTTTATTTATCTGATTTTTAAAAGGCTTTTCCCTTAAAACATTGTGTACTTTCGCTAAAAAATAATTGTACGTTTTGATTTATGTTAATAAGATAATAGTTACTAACGACGCTAGCTATTAAAATAAAAATTCTTTTCGCATTTGACGTTCGTAAAATGTGAAAAACGTAAAAACGAATGTTGTAAATGGCTTTCTATTCATTAGAGGAAAATAAAGTAGGTAATGTGAACATTAAATCCGTGAAATATTGTGCGGTCTGCATGTGGATGTTATGCGATTAAAAACGTAATCGGCGGTTAAAGAATAGACGGGGAGGCAATAATGAGATTATGTCTAGAGATGGCACATATACGTACATATTAGGGGATGTTTTATGTGATGCGATTTGTTTTTGCTTACGGCAGAAAAAAATGACGAATGGAAATGAGTTAGTCTGGGTGTAGTGCAGGAGGTATTAGAAGGTCTTCACTCACCTAAAAATATTCGATTACTTAAAGCCCCCGTTTCGTCCCTTGTGGATAGGGTTAGATTCCTACTGGATTCGATCACAATTGGCTGGCCGTTCCTCGACTTTATATTACTGGCAATCAATCTGTCCAGTATAAAAGCCTTTCCTTCCAGTTTTACGCCTCCCGCGACTATTTTTAATTGACCCATCCCTTCCTGAGGACCAAACAAAACATATACTTTAATATACAGCATTTGTTTTCATAAAAGTAAATTCTAAATCTATTGTGGTATGAGTTTTAATACTTTTTGTAGTGGTTTGAGTAGTAATAATTCGTTAAGCTGATCTCTGTCCTTTTCATTCCCATGAGAATTTAATTAAAATTTTGAAAAAACCCTCTTCAGTGACTCCCAACATAAAGAATTTTCTGTCCTTAGTTTTTAGTAACCAGTTTTTAGTAAAAAAAGAGAACCTTTTTCTATTATGAGACATGTGATAGTGGTGTTAAAAAATCTGCATGTGTCCAGGGTAACTGATTTTTCAAGGATAATGTACCTACAGTAGAATCCGCTTACAATGACATCGAAGGAAAATGACAACACGTTATACAAAGTATAGTCTTAGAAAATAAACAACTTTCTATTTTGATTAGTTATTTAGTTTAATAGAGAGAAAAACTACAAATTGTATATATTTTTTTACAGAAAAAGAAAAAGAACGATGAATTGTAATATAAATATACATAAGAAGGGTCAGAAAAATGAGCGAAAATGTTATTATTAATCATTTGGGTCACTATAGTCGGATATGATTTCTTGAGAATCAGTCATAATAAACGATATGTCATTTTAAACGGGGTCATTATATCCAAACTTTCCTATAGAGAATTTAATATGAAAACCAAATTTAACACTGCAATTACTTCATATTAAGCGGCTGGTCAATATAGGCGGAGTTATAATAAACGAATTCCACTGTATATGGATTTATGCAGTTTCAATTCGGTTAGAGTTGCATGTAATGTTTCAGTTGTAACAACTATCGATGAAATGTTTATTTCCACGTTTTTATTTATTTATGTTAAAGATTTGCATAATCCCTTAACGATTGAATGTACTTATAATCTTTTAAAACGATAAGAAAGATGAATAGGAGTCAGTTTTATGAAAATAATTGTGCGATTTAAACATGAATGCATTTAAAAGAAATTTAGGGGAACAGGAGACATTTACCTACTATTCTTTACCTCTTTAGGAAACGTTGACTGATAACGAAGTGGTGAAGGAAATTTCTATTGAAAATTGTTTAATGTATAAGACCCTGCGGCTCGGTTGTGCACAAAGGTTCGTTACCACGTAGACAAAGTTAAATAAAAATAGATCATTAGTTTGATAGTGGAGAATGGAAATAATGAATTGTCGCGAACTTTTCTTTTAATAAGAGCCGGTAATTATACCTCGAGGCGTCTAAACAAGCCCGCTGTGAAAATCGTTAATGAACAACTCTTTTTACGTTTTCAGAGTAATTAAGACGTTTTAATTGGAAAGCAACAGTTAACGCCGTAAACTAATCTATTCATTTATTACACTGTCGACGTAATTTTTCTCCATAAGAAGAAATAACTGAGAAAGGAGATAAAGTTTTGATTAACTTTTTATTAGGTGTATCAGTTGTAGCTTAAAATTCAAAAAATGGACAGATAGACATACAGGTGATCCTATAAGGGTTCCGTTTTTATTCGGACGTACGGAACCCTAACCGAAGAACCAACTTAACATTGTAGTTAAAAAAAAAAAACATGTTTTCCTATACATTCAAACAGCATATGTAAATTTGAGCGCACAATATTGCTTTGTTGAAAGATTTACCACGCTATAATCAGATCATAGACTTCTTATTAATTTTATCGTAATCTATAAGTAAAGAACTATTTTCCTTATTTTTTTCAAAATTTCAGGTTCAGTATTTTCGGAGTTAAGGGGGAAGGAATGGTCAATTTTCATCTATTTTCTTAATTCACTTTAGAACTTTTTATTTTAAAATTATAAAAACGAATATTTGACACTCTTACAACAAGCCCTTTCATTTGATATGTCACACGGTACAGTTAAATTTCCTATTTGACCCCAAAACATGACCCCTTTGTTCAAAATTAATTTATTTACGTTATGCGTCCGCGTTTGGGTCACAGAAGTTCGATCCAGTAGATTTGGAGCAAACTAATTGTGACTGACGGATAGACAGACATAGGAGTGATCCTATAATGATTCTGTTTTTCATTCGAACTTACAGAACCCTAAAACTCGGCAATGTTAAAACACATTTACAAAATTTTGCTTATTTTTGTTAACAACAGGGAAAGTGATACAATGATTCCTTTTTACGTAAGATTTTTATTTGAAATGATTTCATAGAATTTTATTGCCGTTTTATAAGGTGGATTCTTGAAAGCTATTAATTTTTTAACTGTCGTCTTTGACAAACAAATCTCCTGATGTCGGACTATTCGGTCGTTCCGACATTAAGAAGCAGCCGGAATCCAATATCAGTAAACAAACAGGCGAATCGCGGAAAATCTTTTGCTATGAGGATGACAGACGAAAGAGAAGTGGCGAATATTAGTGAAATTATTCTGGGAAAATGTCTCATCCTTCTGTTGTTGGTGCCTGATAAGTTTAAGGTCGTTCGTGTAGCTGGGAATTAGATAATTTTTGAAACCGATAATCGGTTTCGTTAACGCCACAGACGAAAAAAAAAAAAAAAAA